CTTAGTTTAGCTAAAGACTTAATTTGTATATCTGATTCATCCCTGCCAATTCCCTCATCAAGGGTGGCAGCAGTCAGCTTTTCCTCCAATTGCAGGTGAGACCAATTTGGAAAGAAAAGAAAACTTTCCTTTATGCACTTCCCCAGAAATAAGTCTCAGTGTCAGCTAGGATACTATACTGAAATTACAGTAATTAATCACATTGATCATTCTTTACTCTTTTCAATCTTATGGGTATTTATATGGTTGATACGCTACTATGTCTGAGCAGCAAAACTACAGGTAGTCATTAAATGACCACAAAGTAATAAAGCTCTTAACTCTGCCAACTAATGGCTGTCTGGATTTTTCAAGCCAAATATGACAGCCCTAATCTAGTGTTGGCAAATCTATGACAGGCATGCCAAAGGTGACATGGCATGACATTTAGGGTGACACACCAACACCAGACTACTGCAATTCTTGAGAGCATGGCCCGTTCTCATGATTTTCAGAGACTTCAGAGGCCATGTGAGAATCAGGTGCGCTCTTGCACGGCTTCCAAACCCTCCTGCAGTTGCGAGAGAGGCATGCTCTCCTGTGGCCTCCGACAATTACACAAGAACGGGACCTGCTTTTGTGAGGTTTTTCAGAGGCTGAAGAGACTATAGAAAAGCATTCTCTGAAGCTGCTGCAAGAACGAAGGCCTCAAGTGATTCAGAGCATCCTTGGGAGTCAACCGGGGGTGGTTGTAGGTGGGGGGCTGTTACAGTGGTGGGATTCAAAAATTTATACTATCAATTCTGTGGGTGTGGCTTGGTGGGCATGGCAGGGGAAGGATACTGTAAAATCCCATTCCCACCCCAGTCCTGGGGGAGGATTACTGCCAAATTCCATTCCCTCCCCACCCTACTAACTTGCTTTCCAGCTCCATTTTCCTGTGCAGTCCAGCAAAAGAAGACCCAGCTGATCAGCTGGGACTTGGGAGGCAGAGAATAGATGGGGGCGGGGCCAGTCAGAGGTGGTATTTGCTGATTCTCCGAGCTACTCAAAATGTCTTCTACCGGTTCTCCAGAACTGGTCAGAACCTACTGAATAGCACCTCTGGGCTGTTAATAGAAAGAAAAAATGCTTGAAGTTAATCAGCATGCAGCAAATCCTCTGAAGCATTACGCCACGGGGCAATTGCGCCATTTCCCAAGGTTTGCGAGCCTTGGAGAATGGCACAAGGTGGTCTTTTGGACTGATGGTGGTGGTACTAGAGCTAAAATCACGGCCCAGACCTCTACTTCAGGAGCAGCTTCGGCACTGTCAGCAAATGGTACTCTTCAGGGTATTCCAGATGGTGGGGAGACAGAAAATTGTTTCTCTTTTGTTTGGGGAGAAGAGTCAAAGTTAGGCATTTTCCAAATTTTTGATATGCCAGGTTTTGCCGTCATTGCCCTAATCCCACTTATTTACTTATTACTTATTACTACTTATTTCTGTGTTAGTAGATACAGACTGCAACTTTAATCACAAATTCTTCATTTCTTCACCTCCATTTTAAAAAAACGCTCTTCAAAAAATAATTGTGTCCACACAGAATGGAGTAAACATGAAAAAAATATTGCTTTCAGGAAAATAATAAGTATTTCAAAGTGTTAAAGAAATAACTATGTCAATAAATGCAAATAATGTAAAAGAATACAATGTAAGCTATTAATATAAGTAAACACTAAGAGGCA